GTTTAAGGGTTTTAGGGTTTAGGGGGTTTGGGTGTAGGGTTTAGGGGTTTAGGGTTTAGGGTTTAGATGCCCTGATACGAAGCCGTTATCCCTGTTTCAGGCTCCGTGCTCGCAAGACCCTGCGGGGAAGCATCTTCCATCGTGGCGCCGCGGCCTCAGGTCGAAGGTTCTTGGGTTGGCTCGCTCATCCTGAGCTGATAAGTGTTTAGAGCGTTTAGGGTTTAGGGTTTAGGGTTTAGGGGTTTAGGGGTTTAGGGGTTTAGGGTTTAGGGTTTAGGGGTTTAGGGTTTAGGGTTTAGGGTTTAGGGTTAGGGTTTAAGCCAGTCAATAGACACATAACCCTCCTTTCCAAGAGGGAGAGTTGTTGGTTTGTCGCCCCGTCTTGCCTGCGGTCGCCTCCAAATTTCAAGCCTTTGACAACCAATACTCTTATTATACAGTCCTTATATCAGTATCTATTGCTATAAGATACTACAACACCATGTTTATTTACTTTTTAAGGTCCGCATATTACGCCAAACTCTGAACTTTTGAAGAAACAAACTTGAAGGACGGCGTGAAGGAACCCCTAAAGGTGCTCTTCGAGGATACTTTTGGGGTACCGGTGGTAAACAACCCTAAAGTCTAAGGTATGGTATATAATGTAGGGCCTAAAGAATTACCAACACTATTCCGGGGGTTCCTTATCATAACTAGAGTAAAAATTCTAGTATAATGCGCCCCCCAAAACCCTATTTTGCTTATTAAGGCCCCTATATTACTTGTGGATCCGAGGACCAAAAGTTGAAATTGTCCTTCAATGGGGTCACAGCTCGCTATGTTGTGGGGCGTGTGGTCGCAGGGTAGGGTTTCGGGGTTTAGGGTTTAGTGTTTAGGGTTTAGGGTTTAGGGTTTAGGGTTTAGGGTTTAGGGTTTAGGGTTTAGGGTTTAGGGTTTAGGGTTTAGGCTAGGGTACTTGAAGGGGTTGTAAAAGCATGGTTTTTCTGGCCAGAGTAAACCCTTTGCTTTAAGCCGCTTGTTTTACATGCGTAATTACTGATGTAACCTGGCAAGTGGATGCGATCACCAATTTCTCCAAAACCTTTTAACACACTTATTGCGCCCCCAGCAGCCTCACACTAGCCGTATTCAAGAAACTCAAGAAGAAGCAGTTCCTAAAAGCCTATGAAACTCTGATAAAATGCCGTGATACACACATCTTCCTCAAAAAAATACCTGATCCCAAAAAAGTCCGTATAAGCCCTCAGGTCGAGATGGAGGAGATGGAGCTGGTTGAGTCGGCTTTCAGCGACATTGCTGCTTTCGAAGGCGGGTGGAGATGTTTGTTCTGCCCGGTTTCGGGTTTAGGGTTTCGTGGTGTAGCGTTTACGGAAACCAAGCCCCATAGAAAATTAAAAATACAAAAAAACATAAAATAAATGCAGCCCCACCCCACACCAAAACAACACAGCAAACAACCCAAAGACCCAAACCCTAAGCAAGCCCAACGCCCGAAAGCTCTGAACTCCAAAATACAGATCGGAAGAGTCTACGGACGAGGCTCTCCAAGTAGGTTTTTTGGGTTAAGGGTTTAGGAGATTCCGGAGTTGCATAGCCGGGTTTCATAGTGTTTTCAGAAAGGTGCGTAAGGGGTGTATATAGTGCATTATCGCGTTTTTGTAAGGCTGTTTTCATATCCAGGGTTTCGCATGGTTTTCGCGTCGGCATGCGGCTTTATAAGGGCTCATGTCATGTAGGGTGTGCCCTAAGGGTCCATGTACCCAAATGGTATATACTTTGGCCTGAATGTAGTCCCTATATACGTATATACTAGTTGGGCACATGGACCCTTTCGGTTGTACAAGGGTGAGACAAGTTTTATCGTATTCATGCGGCTACATAGGTTTGGTAAGGGCCTCGTCACTGTTTCATGGCGGCGGTATCATGCTTTTATCGGATCGGGTTGTTGTGATGGTTTAGACATACCCTAAACCCTAATCCCCTAAACCCCTTAACCCTAAACCCTAAAACCCTAAGCCCTAAACCCTAAACCCTAAACCCTAAACCCCTGAACCCCTAAACCCCTGAACCCCTAAGCCCTCAACCCTAAACCCTAAACGCTAAGCCCTAAAC